ATGAAGGAGGACGTTGTTGCCGGGGGGATCTTGTCGCGGCTGGTCCTCCCTGTTGACCACGTTTAGGGCTTTTCTTCTGTGGAGGACGGCCTCGTTTCGTGCCCGTGGGAGGGAGGGAAGGACGGTCCGTAGGAGGGGCGCCGGATGCCGCGAGCCTTTGGATGTTTTGCGCGGCTGCAGCCAAGCTGGCATCAGGTGTGTCTGTGCCCGCCTTCTTCTTGCTGGATGTAGGGGATTTACGAGCCTTGTTGGCAGGGGAAGAGCCACTGAAATCTCCTTTCTTCCGGGAAGAATTACGAGACTTCTCGGGTGGACGTTCCCCTTGAGGGTTCGTCCTCTCCTTCCCAGAAGGGGACAATGCAGATGCCAGGGGTGCGACATCTGCCACCGAAGCGGCGGCATTCAAAAGGACACGGGAAAAATGTCGTGGCTGCAGTGGGGAGGCAAAGCTGCTTTTTACCACGTCCACCGGGAAAAATGTTCTTCTTCGAGGCAAGTTTGCTATGCCCCTGACTCCCGGAGGCGACGACTTCGACGTGAAAGGCACAGCCCCTGGAACAAAAGAATGCCCAACCATTAACACAATCAGCATGGTTGCTAGTTGAAGAAAGCCACGTGATGGCGGCATCCTTTTAATGCTCGTGTGTGGGAGGTATTGAGCGTAGTTCAAGGGAGGGGAAAGCAGGATCGCTTCGACGCGTGCGTGTGCTCGATGTCGGGCCCGACTGTAGCCTATGGAGGGGCGGTAAAATAAAGTGTGGGGAGAAGAATGAAACAGAGGGGAGCATGCAGTCCTGATGGATACGAAAAGACTACGTGCCACTCGTTTTGTGAAAAAAAGCCGGGGAACTGACCAATGAGTCATGAGTGCGTCCCACAGGGGTTGACCTCGGAGGAGTCAGTGATCTTTTAAGAACAAAGTCGGCCCATGTGGGGAGCGAAAAAAAGATCATCGAATTGCCTGATCAGATTTTCTTCTTTGCGACCGTTTGCATGTCGAAGACTTGTATGAAGCTTTATCATACTCAGAGCAAGTTTCTACCATTCACCTCTTCCATTCATTCTCTCTCTATCAACTTTGTCTTCCCCTGTCGCAAGCACGTATTGGTTAACCTCCTCACCCTTTGCTTCTTCCACATCCGGGACGAAATCCGGTGGACGGACCGACACGGTGACAGCGGTGCGCTTGTTCAAATAGTGCTCTTTCCCTTCCTCATCGACGATCAGAGACCAATCGTGCGGACCAGGGGGAACAACAGTGTACAGTTTGCGGAGGATCGAGGGGGTGAGTTCTAGCACTTCAGTCCATTCCACCACTCCGTCGCCGTTCAGGTCTGCGAGTCGGGTAAATTGCTCCACCTGTTGAGTCAAGTTATATTATTGACAGGTACGATTGCATGCATGAGCCTAGTAAGAGGCTTTTGGAACTACGGAACGTGTGGGCTTTCCTACTCCTCTTGTCGCTCTTCCCCCTCGCCACAGCTTCTTTACCTCTTTCTCGTTCAAGCCTATCCGAAGCCCACGAATGAAGGCCATGAATTCATTTCGTGACAATGTGCCGTTCCGATCAAGGTCCGCCCTCTTAAACTCCCAATCCAACCACGTCAATGTCATATCCAAAGTCTTGGTGTTCTCCAGCACCTCTTCCTTCCCTCCCTTCGTTCTCCATTTGTCCTCCTTGTCCAGCGCCATCGGACAGCTTTTGCGGACTTCCGATGTCCTTTTATTAAAGTACCAGGTTTCTTCTTCTTCCTTGCCCCCCTCTCCAATCCTCTGTCTCTTGGTCATGAGACACCAGTCATGGGCCCCTGCGGGGATGTCCTCATAAATTTTGCTCAAAATCCGTGGCACATCTTGCTCGACCTCGGACCAAATGATCCGGTAATCATTGTCGCGATCGGCAAGGAGGAAAAACTGGAAAATCTGCCAGGGTGAAGAACTGTGGGTAAGTGGAAGCGGAAGGGTGTAGCCTATCTCTAATTTGAACATGATAATCCCGTACCTCTTTGGAGCTCAAATTCAAATTTAGGGAGCGAATGAAACGGACGAATTCATCGTAATCTAAGGAACCATCTTTATTCTTATCGTGTTTGGCGAACTCCCAGTTCAGCCATGCCACTATATCATCGTATTCACCCGCGGTCGTCGCAAGTCTGTGGGTTTTCTTATCCTGTAAGGGTCCGGAAGGTCGAATTGCTCCTTTGCGGCTGCCGTTGATAACGATGTCTCCACTTAGGACTAAATCACCAGCTACACTACTCAGATTTTGTGGTTGTGCGTACACATGCATGTAAGCTACCGACATTCCATAACATACTTGGGGGGAACGACAAGCGAAAAGGGTTACCCATCGTGGGGGGAAGAATGACATTACCTTGGGGACGCCACAGAGCTCCGCGTCTTACTCTTTCGAAATGCACGACTGTGAGTCGATCCCATACTTTTTAGTATGACACGGAATTTACCTGTGCTTCATAATATGCATGAAATAAATTTTGGAAGCCTTGCAACGAGCAAGGCAGCATCTGGCATGGACTTTGGAAAGCTAGTACAGCATTTTTCTTCTGACAAAATATGCAGAGTAATACCATCTAGCGAGCATGACATTGGGACCTCAATAAGAAAGCTCACTCCCTTTTTAAAAAGAATTCAATTTGTGATTATTTGTGGGGTTGAAAACGTTACGTCTGTTGGCGAGTGGTGGATACTTTAACGACTGCCGGAAATGAGCTCACAAAATGTACCTTTTGTACTCTACTCACTCTTAGACAGAGAAAGGACTAGAATATGCCACAGCTGCGCCTGAACTCTTCAAATTTCTGCTGTACCTTCGTCGCGGTACTGTTCGTCTCCTTTTTTCTGAGCGCCACATGCGCTTTCCGATTCCCGCGTAGAACCAGTGCATTGCTCCGACATCGCACGTATGCAGCGACTTCCGCCTTCCATCCCACTTCCACCAATGTCCATTTGCCAGCGAGCACCGCTATAGTGGGTGCAGGTCCCACCGGTTTGTTCACTGCCTTGATGTTGGCGCGTCGTGGGTATCAAAACATCACGGTATACGACAGGCTGCCACGCCCCGACGACCCGTCTTCACCCACATGGGGTAACCCGTACCGGAGTTACAACCTGGGATTGGGGGCACGGGGCCAAATTGCCTTGCGGGCGGCAGACGCTTGGGAGTCGATCGAACCCTTTTGCGCCCAGGCGATTGGGAGAAAAGACTGGACGCCAGAGCAAGGGGAACGACCGGAGCAAATTTACACGGACAGGGAGTACAAGACACAAGTGATACAAAGGGACCGGATTGCCAGCTGCCTCTTGGGGGAGCTGGAAAGGAAACACGGGGACCAAGTCTCGGTCTGGCACAATGTGGAATGTGTGGGATTGACCTGGTTGGACGAGGCAAATCCTGGGCCGGAGGCGAGCCCCTCCTCCGCAGAGATAGGGGAAAAAGGCGTCCGCCTTCGCCTCCACCGGCAATGCGAGGGACAAGAGCTGGAGCAATGGACAACAGAGGCACGCTGGGTGGTCGGGGCTGACGGGGTCCGTTCTGCCTTGCGCAGTGCCCTGGAAGTGAAGACAGCCCCCGGGGGTCACCATGGACAGACACAAAAAGAACGCGTTCGTACCATCAAACTGCCCGAACGCAACGAATTTGTCTATAAAATCCTCCCACTGGATCTCAGGCCCAAATACGGCACGGGCCCCGGGTGGCGCCCGGATTTGAATTATTCGGCACGGAGCAAAGGCGAGGTTACCATCGAAGCGCTGCCTACACGGGAAGGGATCTTCGTCGGGGTAGTCCTCTTCCGACCAGATTCCTCCGCCATAGCCAAGATCCAAGGCAAGGAAGACGCCAGGGAATTCTTCGCGGGCTCTTTCCCTCAGTTCCTCGACGTGATCCGGGAGGAGGATTTGGCACGCTTCGCGACCGGCCCGACCTTCCGCCTCCCTAGTTTTTCGTATTGCGGTCCCAGCATTTTCTACCGGGACAACACTTTGCTCCTGGGAGATTGCATCCATTCCGTCAAGCCATACTTCGGCCTGGGGCTGAACTCGGCCCTGGAGGACGTGATGGCCTTGGACAAGTGCCTGTCCGAGTCTGAGGACGATGTCAGCAAGGTAGGGGCAGGGGGGCATAGGGGCGAAGAGGCCCATGCGTTACCCTGCCTCAGCCCCTGTCTCCCTCACTTGTCCTCAACCCTTGTTCCTTTCGTCCGTTGGATGTTTCCTTCCCTGCCGCGCCCCGTCTCTGTCGACGGCTGTTCCGTTCGCACTTGTCTTCTTGTGGCTCTTCTCTCCCTCTTCTTCCTTGTTCAAGTCAGTCTTTGCTACCAAAGCCTTTACAATCGATAGCTCTCCCTCCCCTCCCCCCCTTCTTTTTACTAATTTCCATCTCTTTCTCAGTGTCTGTCCTTTGGCCCCCTCGTTGAATGTGGTATCTCCGCCTGGGGTCCACGCGCCTGGTTCGGCCTCTCTTCCCCCCCCTGTTACCTCCGTCTCCACATCTTCCCCACCCAACGACCCTCCCTTCCCCTCCTCCCTCCACTCTTTCCAGGCCCTTCCTCTCTTTTCCTCCCGCACGGCCCCTCAAGCCAAGGCACTCGTTGAGTTTCAGGCTTCGTTCGACTACAACGCCAATACGTTGGAAGGATTTCTCCGTTTCGTCCTCCCGCTGATTTTGGACGGGATTTTCCATCGGTATTTCCCGGCATTTTTCGCCCCGAACGGGATTCGTCTACTCCAGGACCATCGCTCCACCTTCCGACAGACGCGCCGACGGAAGCAAAGAGATCGGATTGGCCAAGCTGTAATTCTCGGAGTTTTGCTGACGGGAATAGGCAAAGGCTTAGGCTGGGCAGTGAAGGTGGCAGCGCGGATCCTCTTGAAAGGGTAACGGTTTTTTGAAAAAGGGCAGTGTGCCGTTTAAAAAAAAAGAAAATAAAAATCTCTCGATGGCAGGCGTGAAAATGCTTGCCACCGCCTCGGCCGGGACAAAGGACCAGGCTCACGATTTATGATAAAGGGGGCAGGGGAAGACGAATGGCTACGCATCTATACCCCAACAAAGTAATGACACACCAATTCATCGACTCTAAAAATGTTGTGCCAGCCAGGCGCCCTGCTAGTCTACGTGCTCACGGGAGCCTCGCCCTCTGACAACCCCGGCCACGTGGATCGTACTATCAATGTGCTTGGATCGAACTTCAACCTGGTTGGATACAGGTTCAAGATACGTCCATCCAAGACCATTTCCCATCGGTTGCTTTTTCTTTCCCACCGACTCGACCCTCTGTAGCTCCTGCCGTCGTCTTTCCCTTCCTATTCCCCTTTCCCCCCACAACGTTTTTTTCCTTTACGAGTGGCGAGGCCGAGACCACTACCCAAGCCTCCCTTCCTATTCTTGACAACGCTTACACATCGGAATCCTGCCTCCTTCCCTTCCTCCTTCCCTCCCTCCTACCCTCCCTTCCCTCCCTCCCTGTCGTCTGTACAATCCACTCAGAAACCACTTCCCCCGCCTGAAGTACACTGCGCCCCTATGTCCCTCCCTCCCTCCCTCCCTCCCTCCCTGCCCCCC